GCGCATGAAACCGTTATCAATGTGTACGGCAATCACCTTATCGCTTCCCAACGCCTTATGAAGAAGTGAAGCGCAGACCGTGGAGTCCACTCCACCTGATACCATTACCTGAATACAAAAAAACACAGTAACAAAACGATGTGGGGAGCTACAGCGTGTAAAGCAGTTTCCACAACTTATATTTATACAACAGAGAGAGCATACCAAAACTTTTTTGTCGCCGACGATGCTACGGATTTCCTGAATGCATAGCTGTTCACGATTTTGCATTGTAAAATCACCCGTAATGCCAGCGATGTCATACAAAAAATTATGAAAAATGTCCTTGCCGGCGAGCGACAAATCCACTTCTGGATGAAACTGAACACCATACACCTTCCGCCTTTCATCTGCTATAGCTGAAAACATAATTAAGAGTCAGCAGAGACCGCGGTAAGCCGAATTTCAAGAAACAACACTAAATTGTAATTATAATTTTAGATGATGTGTATTTATGTAAAAAGTAAGGTTTAAAAAGGAATAAACTCTTGTTCATGACGTTTCATTCCGTAGCCCCGTTACTTGCTATTTAAATATTTGAGCAGCTGTTTGTCATCAACGTTTGTTGTCGCTATCATCGATGCAGCTGACAATTTCTCCATTCGACTCGTTGTTGCGCTGTCCGAGTTCACGCAAAACCGTAGAGGGTTACCACGGGTCTCTCCACCTCACTAGTGGTTTCCCCAGTACTAGCTTGACCGTGAATGAGTACCATTCCGTTACCCGCTTCACCCATCCATTATCTGTCAGTCATGCCACTAGACCAGCCCATCTCTTCTTGCTGGCGTACATTGCTTCAGTGGTGCCTTTCACGTCAGATCTGGCAAGGAATACTTCATTTAGAATGTGCTGCAGCCTGTTGACGCCAGCTATCCGTCGCTCTATTGCTCTCTGAGACACTGTCAGTTCCCTTTTTTCAGAAAACGTGGTGTCCCACGCCTCACATCCATATTATATGGCTGGTAGAACGGTCCCATTAACACCCTTTAAACGAGAAAATCTGCATTCTAATCGAACAAAAAATCAGTCTCTGCGAATATTTTTGCTCACTCAAAAGTCTCGGCAAACAAGGTTTCAGGTCAGTAAAACGGGTAATAGAGATTTGCAACTGATTAGAAGAATAAAACACACATGAAAATTGAGCTAATACATTCCGGTTTGCTAAGCCATAGTGAAACTCAAACAAAATATACGTCCATGATAGCATCTCATTAGCGCAAAGACTGTGATTAAGGTAATTTACAACAAATGTACTAAGAACCAAGTAAGAAATAAACCGTCAGGCAGGGCATGTTGCTCGTTCTACTGAAAAAAAAATCGCTAGCTGTCATGTTTATTAAGAAATGTTTGCAAAAAAATCAACGACCACCAAAGTTGTCCCTGAACAGGCGGTACTGCACATACATCCAACAGGCGGCAGTACTAATTGGAAGACATGCAGCTCAGAATCAAACGCCACTTTACAGCTAAAAGTTCCAGTAGTACATAAGGCTCCCAACTTCATTCTCCTCCGGTAGTCAACATGCTCTTTTTTACACTGCGAAATAGGGCACAGAACTGATGATTCCCATCTCATTTTGCACTGATTTTGCCGTCTATGTTTACAGCTCAGGGATGAAACATAAAAAGGATATCAGCCCACTGTACGTACAAGCTTGCTTATTTGGGAGATCTAATGGTACTACCAGTTTTCGTCAACTGTCAAAATTTAATTGCGTTCTCCATGGTGGGCCAACAGCGCTAAAAAAACTGCATATGCTAACATATAGAAGACTTCAGGCTCCCGTCATCTTCTAATCTCCTATCCAGGGATATTCATTGTTGGTATCTTTAAAATTTTTGAAAAACTTGTTATTGTCGATA